CACTCGGGCTCCAGGCCCCATGGGGAGCCCTGAGTGGGAGTCCCCTTGGGAGTTTAGATTCTCTTCTGCAGACAAAGGAGAACTCTGTCCGGGCCTTTCAGGCGCAGAACCATGCACTTAGGAGGAGTAAGCTGGCCACAGCAAAGAGGAAGGACTGCGGGGGAGAGGAATTGGAGGCAGGGAGGCCAGGGCGAAAAGAGCTGGGAGGGCTCCAGAGGCCGGTGGCTGTGGCAGAGGGAGGAGACACAGACAGAACTTCAATGGTTGGAGTGACTCCTCCAGATGAGCTGATCTCTCCCTGGTCCCAGAATGCACCCCTCACCTGAGTCATAACGTCTGTGAGTTACCTACCTTTCCTGTGCGTCAGTATCTTTTTTTTTTTTTTTTGTGCGTCAGTATCTTTGCCCTTAAAATGCCGGGGTTCTTGTTCCAGCATCTAGAAGGGTTCAGCAATCTGGAGAAGGGGCTGTGTGTAACTTAAAGAGTCCAGAGACAAAATATAATTTTGAAAGGCATATTGGGGGTCAGAGGAGCCTAGTTAACGAAACTAAGTTCTCCTCGTTTCAGGACCCCATGCTTTTTATTAACACAAATTGTCCTGAGGCGAGGCAGAGATACACACTTCAAAGGGTCAGGGTTTCCTATACAGAGTCCATTGTCAGAAGGGGCTGTTCAGGTGTTTGGCCAGTAGGAGGCAATAACATGTAGATTAAGATGCCCTGAGCTGTCTGGCAGCAAACAATCAATTTAATGCACCTTTTCAGGTTTGGGGAAATGCCACTCCAGATGATCCAGCCCTGCTGAGCATGCTGGAATTGGCTCCCGGCATTAAAAGGATATTGACAGCATCAACTTCATAGAATAGTTGCTAACACTCAATAGTAAATACTTAACTGAGTGTCACCTTTGTGTCAGGCACTGTACAAGGGCCAGAGATGTGGACGCAGCAAGTAAGACTTCCCTGGCTTTGAGAGGCGTACATTGTAGTGGGGGGACAGTAAATAAGGAACAAAGTAAATATATAGACACGGGGTGGTGGAAAAGTAGACATTTACAAATCTGTAGTGCTGAGGAAAGGGGAGGGGAAGTGGTCAGCATTTCTTCTTAAGTTATTAATCCTTAGGGGCATTTAACATCTTTAGAATAGTTGCCACAATAGTACCTTGTGAACATGTGTACACTTTTCTCCTGGAATCACCAGTTACTGACATTTTGTTACATTTGATTTACTGCTCTCTCTCTCTCTTTATACACACACGCATGTACTAAAATTTATTTTTACGCTGAGCCATTTGAGAGTTGCAGTTCTTATGACACCTTACTCCTAAATATTTCCATGTGTGTCTTCTTTTTTTAAAAAATATATTTTATTGATTTTTTTACAGAGAGGAAGGGAGAAGGATAGAGAGTTAGAAACATGGATGAGAGAGAAACATCAATGAGCTGCCTCTTGCACACCCCCTACTGGGGATGTGCCCGCAACCAAGGTACATGCCCTTGACCGGAATCGAACCCGGGACCCTTCAGTCCGCAGGCCGACGCTCTATCCACTGAGCCAAACCGGTCAGGGCTCCATGTGTGTCTTCTAAGAACCCCGTGTCTTCCGTAAGACACAGAACCACTGTTGCAGGAAATACTGCTTCCCTGTTTTGTCCGAGAGCCCAGAAACTAAAGATGACTCACCCTGCATTTGGAAGGCATGCCTCTTTCATCCCCTTTAACCTAGAACTGTTGCTAACTTTTTCATTTTGTTTCTTATTCTTTATGACATCACCATTTTTGAAGGGTCCGGAGCAGTTATTTTATAAAATGTCCCTCGGTTTGGATCATCTGTGTCCTCGTAATCAGATACTTTGTCAGGCAGGGATTTTTATGTGTTGGGGGGCGGGGCCTGGGAATTTTTGTAGGTGTGCTGTGTCCTCAGCGCATCTCGTCAGCGGCAGGTACAGTCCAGTTGCCCCGTTATGGGGGATGTTAACGTTGGTTATTTGGTTAAGGTGAGGTTCACCAGGCTTCTCCAGGGTGGAGGCGCCCTCTCCCCTTTGAACGTAGTACGTGACTTACTAAGTGGCATTTTGAGGTTGTGTGATTATCCTGTTCCCCAACAATTTTTCACGCACTGTTTCAGCATCCAGCGGCGATTCTTTGTGGATGGCAAATCCCAGTGCCTGTGTTTCTTTATACATGATTGACATTCTTCAGCGATGACCTTCTGCACCTCCCTTTTTCATTTCATGGATGTTTGCCACATGGCATTCCGGTCATTTTGCATTTTGATGCTCAGCGACCTCAGATTTGCAAGTGGGAACCCCTCAAGCTTCAGGGGTTTCCATGAGTTTTTGAGCACTTCCTTTCTGGCACAGAAAGAGATTCTGGACTCCTTTTCTGCCTCAGCCTTGTCCCATTCCGCTGGGGCAGGTATTTAGAAATCATGCTCTGAATGCCGGGTGCGCTCAAGGCACCGGACTCCTGGCTTCCTGGCCCTGCCTGATGTCAGAGCCAGGAAATAGAGTTTTCACCAAGTGGTGGGTTTGTCATGTTAAAGCTAAGGCTAATCCAATAATTAGATTATTCTTCCCCTTCCTCCCTTCCATCTTTGCCTCTTGCTTCTCCACAGTGAGAACTCTATTCTTAGTAGCATCAGTATATTTTCCTAATCGATATTAAACACAAAATTGTTTGAGAATTGCTATACCAATACCACTACCAAGCACAGACAATTATTAAATATAGTTCAAGATTTCTTTGCCCTTCTTTTTTTGTTGTTGGTTGTTGTTTTTTATAATCTTTACCCAAGGAAATTTTTCCATTGATTTTATTTTAGAGAGAGTGGGAGGGACGTAGAGGGGGAAAGAGAGAAAAAAACATCAATGTGAGAGAGACACTCGATTGGTTGCCTCCCGCATGCACTCTGATCGGGCCGGATGGAACCTGCAAGCCAGGTATGTGCCCTTGACTGGAAACCAAACCCTTGACCCTTCGGGGCACGGGCTGATGCTAGCCAGGACTCTTTGCCACTTTTTATTTTTCTACGTGTCCCACCGGATATGTACAGAATACTAGATTTCAAAGTTACTTGAATCTTTTTTTCTTCTGTCTGGTTATGTTACTGATTTGTATATAGTTGCATTAATTTATTTCTGTTTCTATTCAGTTTTAAGGGTTTCCCCCTTGCTTTAATTTTTAAATATGTAATATATTAACATGGTTCAGGTCACAACTATGTAAAGATATGCTCAGAGAAATCCTACTGCCCCCCCCCATAGCATATAATTTGTTTCTGTTTTATCTTTCTTCTTTCTATTTGCTGTTATAAACAGATACATATGGTTATTTCTAACTCCCTTTCTAAATGGCAGATAACTCATACTATGTACTCTTTTATACCTTGTTTTTGTCAGGTAACCATGTCTGGAAAATCATTCCGGAGACACCATCCTCATTCCTTTTGTACAGCTGCGTAGTGCTTCATGGGGTAGAGGTGTGGCATTGCATTTGGCCACTCTTTGGTGGTTAGTATTTTATATAGTGTGGTGCAGGGAGGGTCTCCTTAAAAGGGTGATATGTAGACTTAAGCAAGTGAGGGAGCAGGCCAGGTGACTGATGGGGGGTGTGTGGAAGCAAAGCCCTTCAATAGGTTTCAAGCATTTAAGGCACTTCAAGGAGATCTTTTTATTTTTATTATTTATTTATTTTTGTTTATTTATTTTTAAATATATTTTATTGATTTTTTACAGAGAGGAAGGGAGAGAGATAGTTAGAAACATCGATGAGAGAGAAAGACCGATCAGCTGCCTCCTGCACACCTCCTACTGGGGATGTGCCCGCAACCAAGGTACATGCCCTTGACCGGAATCAAACCTGGGAACTTTCAGTCTGCAGGCCAACACTCTATCCATTGAACCAAACCGGTTATGGCTATTTATTTTTTTAAATATGTTTTTATTGATTTCAGAGAGGAAGGGAGAGGGAGGGAGAGCTAGAAACATCAAAGATGAGAGAGAATCATTGATTAGCCGCCTCCTGCACGCCCCACTGGGGATCGAGCCCACAACCCATGCATGTGCCCTTGACCAGAATCGAACCTGGGACTCTTCAGTCTGCAGGCCAACCCTCTATCCACTGAGCCAAACCAGCTAGGGCTCAAGGAAATCATTTTGTTGGAAAAGAGTGGGAAAGGAGGTTGTAAAAGTAGTCAGGGCTGGATCTCAGAGATCAAGTTCTGTGGGCCCTTTAACGACAGTGACATTTTTTTACTCCCAGTGAAATGGAAAGTTCTGGAGGGTTTTGAACAGGAATGAAGTTATGAAGAATCATTCTGGGTGCTGGGTGGAGAGCAGTCTGGAGAGGGCAGGAGCAAAGGAGCAGCTTGGAGAGGGAGGGTTGAGGCAGCGGATCACGCAGATAAGGATCAAGACCGGAGGAAGGAAGGACGAAATGGGAGCGACTGGGGTGTGGTTTGAAGGTAAAGCTGGCAGGATTGGGGGCTGGTTGCAGCAGTGGGCTCTTAAAATGTGGTCAGGGCAAGTAGCAAGCTCAACACCAGGAAGTGATGTATTCGCTCTTCTCAGCAGAGCCTGCCCTGTTCTGATGCTGTTGAGGTCTTATGGGCCGTTTTCCTTGCCAGCTATCTCCCCAGCTAGATTCTAGTTCCTGGGATGCAGGAACCAGACTTGCTTCACTGTTGTTATTTTAACAGTACAGATTGTTACAGTCTCTGTCAAGCCTTTCTCCATCTTAAGACATTACCTCCCATCATTATGTGAGACTGGCTCACGGCTTTGCTGCCATCAAGATTCCTAGTCTGTGCTTTCACTTAGGAGAGAATCCAAGTCCAGGGGTATAGTGTGCTGCACTCCTGCCGGAAACCAGGCCTGTCTTATCCTGGCTGTAAATCTCACAGCTCCCGGGCACTGTGGTTAGTAGTTTAGACTTTGTTTTTGTTTTCATTGTCCCACCTTTTTTTTTTTTTTTTTTTTTTTTTTAAGGCTGGGACCGTTAAAGAGGAGAACCAGGGGTCGGTTAAGTACCTTGTCCAGGTTCACACAGCGGACAAGTGGCAGAGTGTGCTAGCACCCAGCTCTGCCGACATGGCCCATGCACTCCAGCCCGAGATCAGATGAGCAGCCGCTGGAAGGTTGGCAAAGCCACGGGTGTCTCTTTTCCTCCCATGTGCACACTTCCAGGGCGGTTTGGCTAAGGCGGGTGAAATGACGTAGGGCAGCCAGTTCCCACGCCCATCAGATTGTGTGCCCGTCATAACCTGCAGTCGCGGGAGGGGACGCCTTGGCTCCATAGAATTCAGAAGGCTAGTTAGTCACACATTCATTTATTAACGTTTTGCCATATTTATACTCGCTCTGCACTCCCAGATACTTTTGCATAATTCCATCATCATATTTACGAAAATAACAGTAATCCCCTAATATCATCTGACTTCTGCCCTTATTCAAATTTCCTCACTGGTCACAAGAACGCCTTTTTTTAAAAAAATAACCAGGATCTTGTCAAATTCTGCACGTTGCGTTTGTTGCTGTGTTTGGCTTCATCTTGACAGATACCTTTTAGAAATGTGGAAGAGACTCAGAGCCACTCTAAGAACGAGACAGTCTGGGACTGTGCTGTCGCCTCGGTCACGCCAGCGTCTCAGGAAGCACAGGCTTTGTGGGGCAGGGAAGGCGGTCTCTCTGTTGTGGAGCAGAGTTCGCCGCACACATCAGCCCCGACGGCCCGGCTGCTCTGCCTTTTGCTTTCTTCTCATGTCCTCTCTCCTCGCCTGCAGAAAGCTCTGTGCAGCTCCCCTTGCCGGCACAGCCCCTGAGATTCCGCAGTCACATACGAGAGGCCCTCGGGATTGAATGCCCAGCCAGGGCCCCTCCTGTTCCCTGTCCTCAGGCAGTGGAGGGTGTGGCAGCGAGCCCCAGCCGTCCCAGGAGAGGGCAGGACACCATTCTAGCAGTTCCTCTTTGGGGGTGACTTTCGGTCTCCGAGGAAAATGCCTGTCAGTTACTTGATAGGCCGGACCCTCGCCTTCGCTGCTGCTGCGGAGCCTGGAGGCCTGTGAGGGAGGCTCCCTGGGAACCAGTGGAAGTGAAGGAAACCCCTGCCCAGAACCCTGTGAGCTCTCTGCCCCGTTGGGAGCTGCTGATCCTAGGTCTCCGTTTGTGACCTTGATCTGTCCTATCGGCCGGGTCTCCATCTGAGGAAGCCAGCTTATTTCGATAGCTTGTTCCCCAGAAATGAACCCCTTCTGGTTCCTAGTGACCTTCATCCCTTTCCATAACACTCCCCAAATGTCTGTGAGACTAGGGCCTCAACCTCCATCTGGCTCACTGGTAGTTCCTTCCTTCTTTTCTTTCTAAACATTGAATTGTATACTTCATATGTTTTTGTTTTTTTTTAATCGATATTTTTTTAAAAAGAGAGGAGGGGGAGAGGGAGAGACAGAGAGCCATCAATGTGAGAGAAACATGGACTAGCTGCCTCCTATATGTACCCTGATCAGGGATTGAACCCAAAACCTGGGCATGTCCCCTGACCCGGAATTGAACCGGCGACCTTTTGGTGCCCAGGCTGATGCCCAACCCACTGAGCAACACCAGCCAGGGCTCACTGGTAGTTTCCTGAACATTTCCCCCATTCCCCCATAGACCAGTTAAAACCTGGGGCGGGGAATCAAGGTTAATATACACGTTCAGCAGATTATAAGAGAGTCAGATGAATAAGATGATGTCATAAATTAGTTGTGATGGAGTTTCCCTTTTGTAATGAAATGATCAATAGTCTGTGAGAATACCGTGAATCAGACTTTGGAGAATGGATGTAGGAAGACTGACAGCGCCTTACATTGCTGTAGTAAGAACCTTTTCCCCCGAAGCAGGCTGTAGGCCTCAATATATTCTGAGAACTGTCAAGGTGAATGTGGCTTTTGAGCATAATAGCATGTGGTTACCTTGAAAGCACAGGCTACTAGTAAGTAGTGCTGTCAGAGAGGAATAGAACGCGAACCGGTGAACCCCACTTTAGTGATATATTTTATTTAACCTGATACAGGCACAATATTTTTGTTTCAACATGTTGTTGATATAAACGAGATTTTTTAAAATATTTTTTAAATTGATTTCAGAGAAGAAGGAAGAGGGAGAGAGAGCGAGCAGAAATATCAGTGATGAGAGAGAATCATTGATTGGCTGCCTCCTGCAAGCCCTGCACTAGGTATCGAGCCTGCAACCCTGGCATGTACCCTGATTGGGAATCGAACCGTGACCTCCTGGTTCATAGGTTGACACTCAACCACTAAGCCACACTGGCCTGGTTAAATAAGAGATTTTTACATTCCCCTTTTCATACCAAATCTTCAGCGTCTGGTTAGTATTTTACACGTAGCACACACTACGTCTCATTTTGGACTGACCGACCGACCACATGTGATGTGCTCACAGGCCACATGTGGTTAGTGGCTACTGACATGGACTGTACAGGGAGGAGAGGCAGCAGCTTGGAGGGGAGGGGAGGAAGCATGTACCTACTGGGCCGCAACCAAGGTACATGCCCTTGACCGGAACCGAACCTGGGACCCTTCAGTCCGCAGGCCGACCCTCTATCCACTGAGCCAAACCGGCCAGATCTAGCTTTTTTGAGGGTTAATCCTCACTGGAGGGTATATTTTCCATTGATTTTTAGAGAGTGGGAGGGAGAGAGAGAAGAGAGAGAGACAAACATCGAATGATGTGAGAGAGACACACTGATTGGTTGCCTCCTGCTCACGCCCTCACCGGCCTAGGATGGAACCTGCAACCCAGGTACGTGCCCTTGACCGGGAATCGAACCCATGACCCTTTGGTGCGCAGGATAGTGCTCTAACCAGCAAGCAACACCGGCCAGGCTAGATTTAGCTTTTTAGAAGATGCTTGGCACACAGTCAGCCCAAACGTACTGAGTGTTTGTGCTGCTGCCTTGTTAAATGTTGTCGAGGTGGAGCTGGCCTAGAGCTCATTTGATTGGGTTTACTAAGAACTAAGTTAAAGAATTGAGCTGCAAGGAGAAGAAAAAAAAAAGAATTGAGCTGCAGCAAACTCCCTTGCGTAAAACACCGTGTCCTTTATTTTTTTTTAAGATATGATTTCATTTGTATATAACATTTTTTTCTTTTTTTAAAATTTTGTTTTATTGCTTAAAGTATTACAAAGAGTATTACATATGTCTCCTTTTTTTTTTTTTCCCCTTGACCTTCCCCGGCCTCCCCTACCCCTCCAGTGTCTTGTGTCCATTGGTTATGCTTATATGCATGCATACAAGTCCTTCGGTTGATCTCTTACACCCCCCCGCCCCCGCCGCAACCCTCTTTGGTCTCTTTTATCATCTCCATACTTGCTGAGCCTGTTTCCACCCCAAGACTGGAACATGCGTCTGACTAAGCTGAGGATATTCATGAACTTAATGAAACATGACTTGTATCAGCACCCCCTCAGTCATTCTGGGCGGATGGCCCCCCACCCCCCCTGTATGTAAATGTCTGAACAGAGACTTCGTTGCCCGGACTGTGAGCAGGTCCTCCAAGGAGCTGAAAGCGAGACATGGTTTCAGAGAAGTGAGAGGGTCAAGGTTGTGTCAAAGCAACCAGGGCTGCCCCCGGTCCCTGCCATCTTCAGGCTGGGCGGAGGCCTCAGCCAGTCCCTGTCGTAGTGTCATACACACGGGGAAATGCCACGCTGCATGCATTCGGGTACTGAAACTATTAGGGGATTTTATTGTTTTGCCTCAAATAAATTTTTACCTTAACTGCTGCTGTCTGTAGGCCACCTGACCCGGACGGGTGCTTTAGAGAGAGAAAGAAGTCTTTAAAAAGGCATTTCTAAGGAAAGCCCTTTCCCTAAGTCCCGAAGAGTGGTGGGCACATCTCTGAGAAACGGCACCAGTGACAGGCCACCTCTCCCAGGCCTCAGACAGGCTTGGACTTGCATTGGGGCTGGCGTCCCTGCGTGGGTACAGGGTACAGGTTTACAACCTTAGCGGGGGCCGCCCCCTTGGCCTTGAAGGGGAAGCAGTAGACAAAGGGAACATCTCAGAAGGAACAGCGGGGGGTAGGCTGGTGGGATAGGATGGGGAGTGGGGAGCCAGCAGACCCTCTGTCTGGCTCTGGTGCCCGAGGCAGGCAGGGGAAAGGAAGGGGGCTGTTTCGACTATGTCTTGAGTGGTCCCAGGCCACCTACTCTTCCACTCCAGTGAAAGGTCTGTGCCTGTCCTTGCCGCGTCATGGTTCTTCAGCCAGGCCCCATGGCACTCAGGGTTTGAGGTGACCCCAGTTTTGCTGCCTCTTGGACTGCATTTAAGTTGTATTCTAAATCAGTTTAGTTAATTTGCTTAACTGTTTATTGAGTTTCCCTATGACTTCTTTGATTGCTCCTTGCATGAATGGATGGATGGATGGATGGATGGATGGATGGATGGATGGATGAATGGACGGACGGACGGATGGATGGATGGACGGACGGACGGATCAATGGATGGACGGATGGATGGATGGATTTGCTCTGGCTTTTCTTCCTTCCTGCACTTAAGTCTCTCTTGTCCCCTTTCCCCTCCCTCACTTTTTCACATTTCACATTTTTATTTACCTTAAAAAAATTTATTGGGGTGACATTGGTTAATAAAAGTATATAGGTTTCAGGTGTACAGTTCTATAACACATCATCTGTATATTGTGGTGCGTGTTCACCACCCCACATCAAGTCCCCTTTCATTGTCATTTATCCCCCCTTTACCCTCGCCTGCCTCCCCCCACCCCCCATTCCCTGTGGCAATCACCATACTGTGTCTGCATCTATGGTGGTTTTTTCTTTGCTTAATCCCTTCGCCTTTATCACCCAGCCCCCAACCCCTGACAGCTGTCAGTCTGCTCTCTATCCATGGGTCTGTTTCTATTTTGTTTATTAGTTTCTTTTGTTCATTAGATTCCACATATGAGTGACATCATATGGTACTTGTCTTTCTCTGACTGGGTTATTTCACTTAGCATAACCCTCTCCGGGTCCATCCATGCTGTCCCGAGTAGTACTCCATTGTGTAAACGTACCACAGCTTTTTAATCCACTCATCTGATGGGCACTTGGGCTGTTTCCAGATCTTGGCCCCTCTCACAGCTGCAATTGGATGTTTGTCTAATTATTTGTATGAAGTCTGGTGTCTCTAACAGAACATAAACTCCAAGAGGGCAGGGACCCTGCTTGTCTGGTTCTCCCACACAAAATAGATGCCCAGTGAGTATTTCAGAATGAATGAATGAATGAATGAATGAATGATGGACCAGGCTGTGGTGAAAGGGGAGCTGAGCAAGGAATCAGAAAACCTGTGTCCTGTCCCTCTGCTGCCCTAAACTTGCTGAGACACGGAGCAGTTGGTGTGCCCCTGGGGCCTATTTGCCCATCTGTAAAATGGACGTAGCATCCCCACTGCACCTGGGCGTGCAGAGGGTTCGAGAGGGACTCGGGAGGACGTGAACACACCTGGGAGAGCGGAGGCCTTCAGTTACGCGCCGTTTCCCTTTCCTTGGTGCTCTGTCCCGTCGCCTGAGAAATGGAAGTAATTTGAATACACTTTAGAGTTGCTTCCAGCTCAGAATTACTGCGATTCTTTCTGAACAGAAGTCTCCCTTCCCTCCCTCCTCGCTTCTCTCCACACCGTTCCTGGCTTGTTTCTTTTTCCTATTTCACAGTTCAGGGAACATCGCTTCTCTCCCACCTCCACCCTACACGCTCATTCATTCATTCATTCATTCATTCAAAGGCATTTCAGGCCCCACTAAGTGTGTGGGCAGACTCTCCGCTTGGGATCCGGCTGCTTTCATCTGCCGTCCCACGTACTGTGGTTGAATCCGGGAGATAGTGCGTAATCAGCAAAGCAGCCGGGGGGTGCTGCTTGCTGTCTTTTTGAGGGCAGTCTCCCTGAATTAAGGGGGATGGTTCTAAATATCTTTGCAAATAGACAGGTAGGGATATTTGCTTCTCACTTGAAATTACTGGGCACAGTTGCCTACAGTTGGTTATTGAATGTCTTGATTTTTCCTGCGCTCTTGCAGTTAACCTGGTTGCTGCTAGGCAAAAACTTCAAATTTCAGTTTAATGTCTTTTCCCTTAACAGCCGTTCTTCTCTCTTTAACAAGAAAGTTAAGCCTGGAGCAAGATGCATCTAAACGCATTTGGGGGGCATCAGGAATACCCCGGTCTTAGTGGTGGTGATAAATGTTTAATGACTGGGTTGGGGTGTGGTGGGGGGGCCCTCATTGAAATCCTTCCATCAGAGAGGTTAACCACGGGCTTGTGACAGGTTTGAATCAGCTCCAGCACACCTGGTCCCGTAATCCTCACCGCCCCTCTGGCCTGCTTCCTGTCATTGGGTTTGATCTCAATAGCTCCCCTGTCAGCCAAGAAAGCGGGCTGCCCAACAGCCACCAGTATGGCCTCCCTACCCCTCGTCCCCACATCCAGTCACCAACTCCTGTGATAACCTCTCCAGTCCATCCGCTCGCAGGGGCGTCCCGACCTGGTCTGTCCGTCCGCCACTCCTTGCGCCGCCTCTGTCCTGCTTTCTCTGCTGCCACCCAACCGCTGCCCGCTCTGCAGACGGTCAGCCGGCGGAAACTTACATTGCGTCCTGCTCATCTTTTGTTTACACCCTTTCTGTAGCTCTCCTTTGCCATCAGGATACGTCCCCGTAGCATCCTTCCCTGACCCCTCCAGCCCCTGCTCACACACTCGGAGCGGGCCCGCCTCCGCAGCCTCCTTCCTGCTCCCCACCCCCTGGCTCTCTTTGTTCCAGACATTGGGAACTGCTTTTATTTCCTCAAACAGACCACACTCCTTGATTCGGGATAGGCCTTGGAGCGCTGCTTCCTCTATCTTCCACCCACTCTCCTCCCTCCTTAGCCAGCCCTCAGCTGGCAGACTCCCCTCCTCCTCAGCATGGCTTCCTGGGGAAGGCCCCGCCCAGGTGGCTGTCCTCGTCTCCTCTGTGTCCTCTCCACGAAGTGAGACTCCTCGAGGCCCTGGAGTGAGGCCTTGTTTGCTGCCATATTCCCAGCATTGCCCACGTGCCTGGCATGTAAGGGGTGCTCCACCAATGCTAACTCCACTTCCTGGGTTTTTGTGGGCTCCAGTTAAAGAGTGGATTCTAGCCCTAGCTGGTTTGGCTCAGTAGATAGAGCATCAGCCCACGGACTGAAGGGTCCAGGGTTCAATTCCGGTCAAGGGCACGTGCCTCGGTTGCAGGCTCAATCCCCAGCCCTGGTTGGGGCGTGTGCGGGAGGCAGCCAATCCATGTGTCTCTCTCACATCGATGTTTCTCTCACTGTCACCCCTCCCTTCTTCTCTCTCTAAAAATCAATGGAAAAATATCCTCAGGGGAGGATTAAAAAAAGAAAAAGAGTGGTTTCTACCTGGTCAGGCATCTACTTCCTATACTTTCTGTCGGCGGTTTATCAGCTTAGCACACAAAGTAGCTGATGAATAATTTTTACCACGAAATTCAACTCCTTTCTCCATAGAGCGTCTTGGAAGATGGTTTTCTGTTTTCAACAGTCGTATTTTTTTCCTAACCTTTTTTTTTCTCTCTCTCATAGGTTTCATCAGCTGCCAGAGCTTACGGCGTTTTGGAATTATAGGTGGGAATATCACTTTGTCGCCATCAAGCACTGTAAACTTTACAGAGATCATATGGAAAAAAGGAAAGGATAAGGTTACAGAATGGAATACAAACCTTGAGGTCAAAACTTACTCCCTTTTGGGAGGGAGGGTTCATTTAGACCTTAAGTCAGGTGACCTCACCATCTTCAATTTAACATCATCGGATGAACATGAATATGAAATGAAGTCCGCGGATCTTACAGATAGCTCTAAATTTAATCTTACTGTCCTCGGTGAGTATTTCATAACTTGGTCTGTTTAAAATGGCAAATTTCACCTGGCTGGCATGGCTCAGTGGTTGAGTGTTGACCAGGGCGGTCACAGTTCAATCCGTGGTCAGGGCACATGTCCACATTGTGGGCTCGATCACCAGTGTGGGGCGTGCAGGAGGCAGCCGATCGATGATTCTCTTTCATCATTGATGTTTCTACCTCTCTCTCCCTCTCCCTTCCTCTCTGAAATCAGTAAAAATGTATTTTTATGGCTGACTAATATTCTGTTGTATGTACTTATACCACAGCTTTTATATCTATTCATGCTGGACACGTAGGTTGTTTCTGTGTCTCGGCTACTATACATAATGCTGCCGTGAACATCACCCCCAATTTTTCTGGATCGTTTTAGTGCCTGGTTCATTTTCACTGTTTCTGATGTTCCTGCCAGGGTCATAGTTCTCGGGGATTGTGATATTGAAATAAAGGTTCTTTTAAATGTCCCAGTTTCTCAGGCCTTGCTGTCCTCGCTTGCCATGGTGTAACCTAGAACTTGTCATTTCCAGTCATTCTGATCCCTTCATCTCTCAGTAGCAGATGTCCTGCCCCTTCTACTTTTAGCTCAGGTCCTCGGCTGTGCTGACTGATAGCCTGAGGAAGCCTGGCGAAGGCCTGCAGAGGCGCCAAACACAGGGAGGCGCGTTTCCATCAGTGATAAACGCGTATCGACTGGGGGACTTCAGGTCCTGCTTGGGGAACCTGGGCTGTAGCCTGTGGCTGTGAGGAGCCTCTGTCTCCCACAATAGACTCGGTGAAATCTAGTTTTGGAAGATGAACCGGGTGGTAGGTATTTACGGTGGATCGGGGAGAAGAGGTGCCGGGGTAGAAGCCACTGTGGTCGCTCAGGTAGACAGAGGTGTCCGTAGGAGATGTTGGAAAAGGAGAGGATCCGAAGATAAGCCAAGGAAGACTCAACCGTATTTAGAACTTGTCATAAAAAGATATAGGATGACTCATGGCTTTACACCGGTTGACAAAATAATTCATCGTCCTCGTCTTAAAAATGGGGAAGTCAGACTTCTGGGGGAGGGTATGTTTAGTTCTATTTAAGTGCGTTGGTATTTACTCTTCCGGAGACACCAGACCTAACGGAAGACTTTCAGAAAGGGAGTTTTACGGGTAGAAGGGGGTTTCCTGGCACCTCTTGCTTCTGCGTAGGAGTTGCTATCTGCTTTCCCTTCTCCCACAAAGCCCCCTGCGAATCTCCGCTAATCGTGTCCATTAGCTCTTTCTCAGCCCCTTCACAGCCTTCAGTGCATTGGAACGTCCATGTAAGTCGAAGTGACTGCCCTTCCCTGAAACGGTCCAGACTGGTGTGTAATTTTTTACTGAAGTTAATGGAAATATACAGATGCCAGCTGGTCTGTATAGGAAATCCTCCTCTCTGACAGGGTGGTGGGCTGAATTAATTAATTACACAGCGACTAACTCAGTTATTGTAGGGGATGAAGGAGGCACATTCCTGGCCTGTTGAATCTGTTTAAGGTGCAGGTTGACTAATCTGTTAGAAGTCGCCGTGGTAAGGCCCCGGGCAGCGAGAGACTAGGAAAGGTTATCGATGGGAAGATCTGAGTGCAGAAGTTCACCCAGATGTCACAGAAAGGTCTGCATACCTGTTGGTGAGCAGGTGGCTCGGCTCTCCCAGGCCCGGGATGTGACAATGGTGGAGCAACGAGAGCGCCTGAAAGAGCTTCTGTGTCGCTAAGTGGGCTCTGACAGCATAGGACGTGATACTAGTTCTTCCACGGGTCTCCCCTCACAGCATTTTCCTATCCCACCTGGCCTTGACCGTGACCGTGTTCTGTTCTCTCTTACAGAGGAAAACGAGACAGACTTAGCAATGGGTTTCTCCTTTTATAGGACAGGAGCCTGGTCTGGATTTCTCTAAAGTCTTGCAGCTCCTACAGGAGCTGTGATCCAAGGCCGCACAGCCTGCCGGGGCTAATGGTCACACCTCCCAGCTCCTGGCCAGTGACCCCTGCCAGTGTCCCACGCCCTCACGGGAGCTTCACCTGGCCAGCCTTGATGCAACTTTGCTATAATTCACTTTTTAGTACATGTTTATAATGTATTGAAATTTTTTTAAAAATATATTTTATTGATTTTTTACAGAGAGGAAGGGAGAGGGATAGAGAGTTAGAAACATCGATGAGAGAGAAACATCGATCAGCTGCCTCCTGCATGCCCCCGACTGGGGATGTGCCCGTAACCAAGGTACATGCCCTTGACCGGAATCGAACCTGGGACCCTTCAGTCTGCAGGCCGACGCTCTATCCACTAAGACAAAGCGGTTAGGGCTGTATTGAAATTTTATTATCCAAATGCTACCAGGACTTTTTTTGTGTATATTTCCTATATATTTACATGTTTTCTCAAAACTCTTATAATTAGTTAGGGGGTGGGAGTAGAGATGCAGGAAGGCATATGAATGAAATACAGGACGCGTGAGACACAAATGAGCATTACGATGTGAGAGGGTGAGATGGTGCAGTGGGACCTGTGAGTGTCTTCGCCTGCGGTGTGCAGGCCCAGGCTGCCTTAGCCGGTTGGCGGCACTTCCCGGGGGGGAAATCTGAGAGGGAGGCCTCGGGGCTGGCCGTTCTCCAACAGGTGCCACGCCTTATTCTACCTGTCAGCAGGGCCAGCCCACGGTACCTTTCACAAAACCCTTTGAGTCACTTTGAAACATTTCAGATTTCGAAAGGTAGTATAAACTATTTCCTCTCTGTAGATTAAAAAGCACCCCACTGCCCTAGCTGGCTTGGCTCAGGGGATAGAGCGTCGGCCTGCAGACAGAAGGGTCCCGGGTTCGATTCCGGTCAAGGGCACATGCCCAGGTTTCGGGCTCGATCCTCAGTAGGGGGCGTGCAGGAGGCAGCCGATCAATGATTCTCTCATCGCTGATGTTTCTATCTCTCCCTCTCCCTTCCTCTCTGAAATCAATAAAAAAAATACTTTTTAAAATGCAATTCTCTACAAAAAAAAAAGCACAAAAAAACACCCCACGTAGTTATGGGGAGCACCCCACACTCAAGCACGTGACTGTTTTTAGTAAACGTGGTAACGAATACTTGTAATAAGTGAGAAAAATAAAAACTAGAAATCCTCATGTCGTTCAGGTGAGGATCTGCCGCTGAATGAGTTTGCCACCATCCTGTTTGCGATCCTGGGGCTTTCAGAGTCGAGGATGAGGGGGCAGGGGCCCCCAGGTGTCCTGAATGGGAGCAGGCAGATCGGACTCCGGTGGGGGGAGGGGGGGGGAAGAATGCTCTCCTATTGGTGCCCAGGGAAGTGGCCTGCCCATCTCTTAAACTCACAAGGAAGTTGGGAGGTTTTCGTAAGTTCACAGATGATGAGTCTGCATATTATTATTCTTGGACTAAACGTTACCTTTTTTCCTAGACCCTCTTCCGTCTCCGACACTAAATTGTACACTGATTAATGAGATCATCTTCGTCCGTTGCGAGGTGCCTCAAAGTTACCGCCGGCATCGGGAGCTGTTACTCTGCGAATGGCATTGCCCTTTCCCACAGTGTGAGGGAAGCTGGGAGCTCGAGGCCCCTGTGCTAAATTTTACGAAGGAGGACGATCTCTCACGGGAAGTACGTTGTTTTGTTAAAAATCCAGAATCCAACAGGACGTCCTCAATGGTTTTGTCAACCTGCGTCCCAGGTGGTGAGTACACAGCTGCACGTCCCATGGCAGAGATGCTACATAGTAACGGTGTTCACGGACCAGTGGTGGTTTGTGGGTTTCAAACTACAGGGACAGTGGCTAACGTACATTTCACAAATTCACAATGTAAAGTGAGCTACAATGTTCATGGACACCCATTAGAGATATAAGCGAACATTTTTAGCACTTCCTCTGTCAAACACCACTCTAACACGAGTGTTAATGAATTCGCACACGACCCAATGAGTTGGGTGCTCTAGTAATTATTCCTTTTTATGGGCAGAAACCAAGACACAGGGGGTTTAAGTTGCCTGCCCCAGGCCAACAGCTAATAAGTAGAAAAGCCTGGATTTGGGAATCAGGTCATCTGGGGTCCAGAGCCCTTGCTCTTAACTATTTATAATTCTGTTTCTTTTTCTTTTTTCTTTTTTTTAAATATGTTTTTATTGCTTTTTAGAGAGAGAGGAAGGGGGAGAAGAAGAGAGAGAGAAACCTCGATGAGAGAGAATCATTGATCGGCTGCCTCCTGCACACCCCCACTGGGGATTGACCCCACAACCCGGGCACGTGCCCTGACCAGGAATTGAACTGGTGACCTCTTGGTTCCTGGGCCGACACTCAACCACTGAGCCACACCCACCAGGCTGCTTCGTAACATTCTTCATTACCTTTATGTTCTCACATGTGCTACAAGACTCTGCGTCTGATACGTTTGTCTAGTTTAGCGATTTTCAACCGGTGGGCCGCAGTGATTTTTAAAACATGCAGTACCTGACCACTTAGGGGCACTGACCTCATTTCCTTAGATTGTCAAATAAAAAAATGGGACAGTTGTGGTTTGTGGGCTTCACATCACATGAGATGAAAAAGGTTGAAAATCGTTGGTCTAACACCCAGTCAATCTCATGCCAAGCTGTCTCACTGATGGTCTTTTTTATGTTAAGTCTTAAGTACATTTGTAAGTGGCCATATTTATTATCTAATTTTTACATTGTATCTTCAGTTTACAAACAAAAGGATCAGTGATTTGAAAGTGGTTCATTAAAACATAAGAGAACAGATGAATTATAGTATTAATTATAATTCAGAATAACGTCATAATTATATATCGTGAACAGGATTTCCAGGATAAATAGAGAATATGCGTTTCTTTGGGCTGAGATAGGGTGATTCTGTGAATTAATTTTTTTTTTTTTTTAACAAGCCACTGAAACAGGAAAGGACAATTAGTAAACATAATGAATATAAAAACCTTGAATTTTATTTGATGAGTGAGCCATTCTCCTTACGTCTCCAGTGTATCGTACCTTTTGAAACTTCAAATAATGACATGAAGCCATTAAAGTTAGGGTTTCATTTTCAGACAAAGCAGTGTGACTTCTCGGGTAAAACAAACATTTGCAGGAAAAGTACAAAATAGGTTCCAATTTGCAGCTGATGGATGTGGTCCCTAAAGACAGAGAAAAGACCAAACCCACGGAGGTGTCACTCATAGAGGCAACATTTGCACAAGCCACACAACTGCCAAGAAGATTTAAAAACCCACTGCAGCCCTAACTGGTTTGGCTCAGTGGATAGAGCGTCAGCCTGCAGACTGAAGGGTCCCGGGTTCTATTCCAGTCAAGAGCACATGCCCGGGGCTTGATCCCCAGTAGGGGGCGGGCAGGAGGCAGCCAATCAATGATTCTCTCTCATCATTGATGTTTCTATCTCTCTCTCTCCCTCTCCCTTCCTCTCTGAGTTCAATAAAAACATTTTATTTATTTTTTTTAAAGGGGAGAATGATGATTTTTATTTTTTAATATATTTTATTGATTTTTTACAGAGAGGAAGGGAGAGGGATAGAGAGTTAGAAACATCGGTGAGAGAGAAACATCGATCAGCTGCCTCCTGCACGCTCCTTACTGGGGATGTGCCCGCAACCCAGGTACATGCCCTTGACCGGAATGGAACCTGGGACCCTTGAGTCCGCAGGCTGACGCTCTATCCATTGAGCCAAACCAGTTAGGGCAATAAAAACATTTTAAAAACCCACTGCAAAGTTAGTGACAGTTGTTATGCTTGGAGCAAATTTATGAATTCCACCTGTTGGGTGTTGCATACTACCCAAGGCAGACTGGATAATACCATCCATGTGCGAGCAGATAGCTGCTTTCCAGTGGGAGTGGCAGAAAGCCACACCAGCGTGCCGTGCGCATAGCCAACCAGGAGAAAGTGGCTGACCGGGTACAGCCTGAGTCAGCAAGTAGAAATCTGGAAAAGCTTCGTGTTCCTCGAGGCAGCATCCTGGAAGGACAGAATTCCTGGACAAGCTCCTCTGTAGAATTATGTGAACGTTGCAGGAGGTTTGCAAGCATTCGGTCCTTGCCTGGTTTTCATTGAACACTTGCCGTTGGGATTGAATGTTACACCTCGTAGACACCTTGAAGAGAAAGGTCGTCACCATAACATCCCTCTCACCGATGTGAAATACGAGTTGTGATTTTGAAAACAAACCCTTTTTTATTAAATAGTTGTGATTCATCTTCTTAAAAATCTCCCCTCCCCCATTGATGGATCACATTACATTGTAGATTTTGAAAGTTTGGGAGACATTGCCAGATAGTTCTTTGGCCTTTTAAATCCCAGAGTAGTGTTGACATGAGATACATATATGTCTGGGACCTGTTTTTGGTCTCCAGTATCCAAATGTTTTCTTCTCTGAAAATCTGGGCCTGAGCTTAATGGTCTAAATCAGCGGTTCTCAACCTGTGGGTCGTGACCCCTTTGGCGGTCGAACGACCCTTTCACAGGGGTCGCCTAAGACCATCCTGCATATCAGATATTTACATTACAATTCATAACAGTAGCAACATTACAGTTATGAAGTAGCAACGAAATTAATTTTATGGTTGGGCCACAACATGAGGAACTGTATTTAAAGGGCCAGAAGGTTGAGAACCACTGATGTAAATGATTCTTTTCAACAATAAAAACCCAGGGTCTCTCTCCCTCCTCCCTTCCTCTCCCCCCCCCCCCCCCCCCCCCTGATGATTTTAAATACTTTTCTGGAGTTGCATGCACCATAACAGATACAAATCCATGAAGATGTAACATTGAAATATTGGATCTTACTTGTTCAAGTGTTAATTTCTTGTGTAGACTTTCTAATGCTTTAGCAAGTGAATCATAGTGACTCACATCGACTAGCCTGCCACTCGTTAGCAAACCCTTCCAAAAGCTGTTTCCTCGCCACCACCATTGTAGACCGGCTGGACAGGTGTTATTTACTCTTTAAGAGTGAGGAGACTGGATCAACAGGTGGGGTGACTGTGCCAGCGTCACTTAAGTAAAGGAGACGGGATTAAAATGTAGGCCTTCAAATTCCGTTGCTGTGGCCAAATTCATTGTCATACCAGGAAATGGGAGGCGCCTGCCGGCCTCTGGTCACAACATTTTGGGCAAAATATCAATACACAAATACCCTTGTTTTATTTTTAACGACAACTTGTTTAATACATATGGTTGATTCATTAACATGGAACTCACGGCCAATTGTGCTATCGAACTCAGGCCTAAAGGAAGCTTATCCAACATGCACGTTTTCTTTGTGAGGCACATGGCAGCCTTTTTGTGCTTAGGGATGCTGGACCACGTGTCAGCACTGTGCTTGGGAGACCGTTGTAGACCGTGAAATCACCAGCAAAGACCAACAAACATTAAAAAATGTGGGAACTGGCACTGAAGAGGCCATGAATAGAACACTTGCTGATAGAATGAGAGCGGGGCAGGAAGGCAGCGTGTGGCCTTGCTCAGACTCGGCGGGGACACGTGCGTCGGGCGACTCACGCTTTTCACCATCGGCCACACGTGCCCACCAGTGACCGTGAAGGTGCTGTGATGGATTTGAGGAAAACAAATAAAGTTTAGCAAGAAGGTAAATTGCAAGCATGGAAGCTGCAAGTAAGGGGTCTTTTTGCAAAAGACCCCTTACTCTTGGCTGCTGTGGTCACAATGCCCATGTCTTACAGCCTAGGGCAGTGATGGCGAACCTTTTGAGCTCGGCGTGTCAGCATTTTGAAAAACCCTAACTTAACTCTGGTGCCGTGTCACATGTAGAAATTTTTTGATCAACTGTATCTTTATTTTGACCAGGTCAGCTAATTGCATTTCTCTTCTTTCTTTCCTTTCTTTCTTTCTTTTTTTTTTTTTTAACAGATAATTCAAGGCATAGATATGCACTCATAGCTGTACCATTCGTAGGAATAGTCTTTGCAGTAGGTATGTATACTCCTCTTAAAAATAAAAGTTTTCAAACGTGAGTTGGTTTTTCAAAGGCTGGAAAATGAATTTGGAGATGAAAACAAAGTTTGAATTTGTAGGCATTTCGAAAGAAGCAGAAACTTTTGTGTTTTACTTGTCTGGTTGCCGAGTGTGCCAGGTCCCTCGGAAGATTCTGCATTATTCTAATGTGGGATGAGCCCTCGGCCCACGGCGAGTTTCCAGGCAGGGGCACAGCCAGATATTCCTGGGATCTAGTCTACAGCCTCCTTCCGTCCGGGGCCTACTTCAACAGAGAGTTACACTTCCGGTCTCCAAGCCAGATTTTGCAAAAGACCCCTTACTCTTGGCTGCTGTGGTCACAATGCCCATGTCTTACAGCCTAGGGCAGTGATGGCGAACCTTTTGAGCTCAGCGTGTCAGCGTTTTGAAAAACCCTAACTTAACTCTGGTGCCATGTCACATATAGAAATTTTTTGATATTTGCAATCATAGTAAAACAAAGATTTATATTTTTGATATTTATTTTATATATTTAAATGCCATTTAACAAAGAAAAATCAACCAAAAAAATGAGTTTGCGTGTCACCTCTGACACGCGTGTCATAGGTTCGCCATCACTGGCCTAGGAGGAGGTCTCAGGTAGGAAGGAACTTTTGTTGAGTTGGGTGACATGGAGTCCTATATAATAAAAGTCTAATATGCTAAGTGTCTGGTCATCCAGTCGGCCATTCAACCAATCAAAGCGTAATATGCTAATGATATGCTAAGGCTGTTCAACCACTCGCTGTGACGTGCACTGACCATCAGGGGGCAGATGCTCCAACTGGTAGGTTAGCTTGCTCCTGGGGTCTGGCTGATCAGAACTGAGCGAGATGGGCCCGACACTCCCTGGAGCCCTCCTGCGGTCCCTCCCCGGCTGGCCAACTTCCCGAGTCCCTCCCTGGCCCTAATCATGCACCAGAGGGGTCCCTCGGCCTGGCCTGAGCCCTCTCACAATCCAGGCTGAGGAACAACCCTCCCCCCCCCCCCCCAAGTGCACGAATTTCGTGCATCGGGCCTCTAGTGGGTAATAAAGATCTGGTGTTACCTATGTTGCCTGAGACTTCCTTGGTCCCCCAGAGATCTAGGGCCAACCTAGAAAGCAACCTGTATGCCCTGGACAACGGGTGACCTAACACGCAGCCCTTCCTCACATCCCAAAGGACATTGACCAGATGTGAACAGATGTTCTTGAAGGCCCATCCGTTTCCATACCCGCCTTCACCAAAAGGGTATTTGTAAGGCTCATTTGTGACTCCCACGGGGAGTGCTAATGAGGAAGCTAAAGGGCATTCAGTAGAGAGGAAATTACTCCAGTGTCAGTATTGGTAGCACCACGTAACCTAAAAACAGTTGTTCTAAAAAAATAATCTGGCACACGTCTCAGCTCTAAAGCCACGAGTTGGGAAATGGTGAGGTGCTGGGCATGGAGCTTTGGGAAAGGGAGTGAGTCGAAGGTGAACAGCTCCAGCACCTCACTGTAGTGGGCAGACACCTGTGGGCCAGGCTGCTGGACCAGGAGTATGGCTCGAGGCTGAGGCTGGTGCCTTGTGGGAAGGAAACGGATGTGTACCCGTGGGAACGGTACCTTCACGCCCAAGCCTGGCTGCCTGACACAGTAACCACGAACCACATGTGGCTGTCCAGCCCTTGAAATGTGGGAGTCCAGCACTCCCTGGGCTGTGAGTATAAACTGCACACTAGGCTTATAAGACAGTATTAGAGGAAGGAATGTGAAATGGGTCGTTCATAACGTTTCTATTGACTACGTGTTGAAATGAGAATATTTTTATATGTTGGGCTAATAAGTAAGACAGACTACGAGAAGTAATTTTACCGATTTCTTTCTATCTATTCTGTACGTGGCTACAGACATTTTTTAAATACTTGTGTGGCTCACATTATACTCCTATTGGGCAGCGTTAGTCCACACCATTCTAGCCTTGCCTTCATTGTCGGCCCTGTGCCCACTCTGCAGTAGACATACCATTTTGTCAGCAGTTTCTGCTTTTCTGTCATCTGATGACTCACTTTTGAGCAACTCTTTGGACCAACTCAGTCCCCAGTTTCATGGAAGTGTTGGGGACAGTGAGGCATGCCGGCCGACAGGGCTCTGGTTTTGAGTTTTCCACATCCACGTCTCTACAAGGCAGTTAGTACCTTCAGGTTTCAGCTTCCGTTTCCAGTTCTTTAATTGAGATGAAAATGTTTTCATTTGTAGGTTTTCTGAACTATGCCAGACGGACGTAAAGAACCACGTAAGTGCCCCGTAGACTGTGCTCTGGGGAAACTGTGTGTCATGGCCTAGACCAGGACAGCCTCGCTGTCGGGTGCCCGTCGCTCGGGGAGCCAGCTTCTATGTATCTGCCAGTGCCTGGGACAGTACCCAGTGACAGCAGCAGAGAGAGATACGAACCACAGTTCGTTAAGCACCAGCCACGTGCCCGGCACTGCCCTGGCCACTCTCCATATCTCCTCCCATTGGACCCTCTCCACAAGCCTTGCACGGGGTCAGTACCACGTGCCAGAGACCCTGAAGGTGAGACTCAGGATTTCAGTCCTGTGGCAGCAAGTGCGAGAGCCGAGACGCACATCGAGGTCCTCGGGCTCCGAGGGTTGTGCTCTCCGCCAGCACATGTCCCTGCTCCTCCCCCCCAGGAAGATCAGACCAAGGATTCGCCTCAGGAGCCAGGGTCAGGGCTGGGCCTGGGTGTGAGCAAAGGATAGGACCCGGGCATGGTCACCAGGGGCGGTGTCCGTAGTAAATGCCATAAGGAGGCTCCGGCTTTGCGGGGTGAGGGGAAGAGAGGCCCAGGCTGTAGCGGGCAGGACAGGAAGTGGCAAGTGGACCGGCAGGTTGGGCCAGACCAAGGCATTGAGAGTTGCCAAGAGGTCTGGGTCTTTTCTTCAAGGGAAGCACTGAGGATGCTTGAGCAGAGCTTCGAGTTAGAAAGATCCTTCTACTAGCAAAGGGTTAATAGACAAGTGCTGGGAATGGGGCCGCGGGTGAGGGTGAGGGAATAAATGGAATAACCCGGCCAAGCAGAGAGGGCCTGGATCAGGAGTCACGCAGACGTGAATATGGAGGCAGAGATGCGGGGGGAACGGAACTGGGTGTCTGATAAAGGGCACGGCCCGCTCCGCACCAAGCTGAAGGAGCGGCAAGAGAGTCCGTATTTGCAGGGAGATCTTTGGAAGTCGGAGGCTAAATGACTGACATGGGCCGGGAGCTTCCTGAGCAGGAGAGCTCTGGGTGCACACGCTGCCCTGGGGTCGGGTCCAGGAGGCAAACCTGACATTTAGGGGGACATCCCGGGGAGGAACTGGCTCGCTCCGGGCTGGGTGTGAGAGCTTCCCTTTTCTCCGTATGCTTCTGTTTACTCTCACACTTCGCACTCCATGTGTTTGCTGCTTATTTGATAATTATTTTTAAATGCAAAGAGCCCATCGTGGCTGGAGGGGGAGTTCCCGAGGCTCCGTTATTAAAGAGTCACGTGTGTGACGGAGGGGTGGGAATTAGGGCGAGAGCTGGGGGGGCAGCAAATGCAGAATTGTCGCATCTCCTGAGGACAGTGTCAGGAAGACCTAAAGGCAGAGAGAACCAGCTGAGCACAGCCATGTTGGTGTCAGGTGTCTGCGGGCGGGCGAAGGGACAGTTCCTTTGGGCAGTTCGGGGAGTGCTGTCAAGGCCTGGAAACATCCCAACGTCCACCAAGTTCAAAAGGCAGCAGAACCCCTCTCCCTGGGAGGAAAGGTTTGCAGGTGCACCTCCGCCTGCGGGCGCTGGAGGTGCTGTCTGGTTGTCCGGAGCGGATGGATCAGGCTGTGGGTGGCGGGGAGCTGGGGCCGAGGGCGCCATGCCCGGCAGGTGCTGCTCTCTGGAGTCCTGTGCTGGCCAGGACTCGGGGGAGAAGGGCTGCCTCTGTCCCTCACAAACCCCCAGTGCCCACTTCCAGGTTTGGGTAGGGGGAAAGCACCAGGTTATTTCCCACAGCAGGAGTGTCAGGAAGGCTGGGGGTGGAGCACAGGTATTTTGGGAACTCTGTTCTGGGCTGGGCTGATCTGGCCTGATCCTGGCTGACACTCTCTGGTCTATGAGATCCAGGCTGTGGAGAAGACAGAAGCCAGGGAGTGGGCTGTTGGTGAGGGACTTGCTCAGGGAGGCGGTGCCCCCAGGTTTTAGCTGCTTCCTCTGTGTTAACCCCGGATTTTGTCAGCACCAGGGAGGTGACCAAGAGGGAAGTTGAGGTGGGAAGGAAGCTGTCACCAGCAGAGTCACGTGGCAGAGAAGGAAATAAATGCTGGGAGGTGACAGCTGACATGTGGGACATTTCCACTGCCCGCCGAGAGGGGTCGGTCCGAGGGGCCGGGGCCGGGCCT